ATATTATTATGTGTTTCGCTGGTGTCTTTGAATCGGCGAATATGGGAAGATCTGGCGATCGAAACGCCGCCGATGCCCTGGCTTCGTCTGTCAAAGAGTCAACCAGGCGCATCCTTCTCCTCCTCAGCGGGACCCTTTTCCTCCGCACGACTAGATTGTCATGCCTCGCGTGGCTTGCGCTATTCCGATCTATTCCGATACTCGCCATCCGCCAACAGATGGTGAAAGGCGCCGCCTAAGTTGGTTGCGCACCCCACCCAGGCAGAGGCCAACTGGCATCCCTGATTAGGAGCCACGGTAGATCGTCTACGCTCCGCGCTCGCATATCTCTCTCATCCAAAGGGCTTTCAATGTTGTGATCGCGCGGGCACTCTCTCCTAGCCCGGCGCCCGAGCGCGTCGCGGGGCTCCTGCATCTCGGCTTCTGGGGCGGCTGCTTGCCGCGGGCGCGGACGCCCTGTGCGCCGTGCCGCCCTGACATCGGTGGACGCCCTCTCCCCGGTGGCCTCGTCGGCTGTTCCCCTCTCTGCGCTCGTGTCCTCGCATCGTGGATTCCCCACTTCGAGCTCCGCTCCCAAGTAGACTGACACGTCGTTTTTATTCGGCGTTTCGACCTTGGGTGAGAAAGGGGGGGGGGGGAGGGGGGGGTCTGGCTCTGGACTCTGCTCGGCGCGCCTGTTTGGGACAGTGCGTCCTACGAGGGGAGGCTCCACCTGCCCGACACAGGCGCCAAACACAGCCAAGATCCACTCCACGGGGGGGGGGGGAGGGGGGGGAGGGGGGGGGCGGCACGGCCCGCGCCGCTCGGCAGAACGAGGTAGAACAAAAACGATCACCACCTCCGCGCCGTGCCGCGCTCTCCGTGCACTCGTGCACAGGAGTTGGGTCGGGCGCGTCCCCCTACAGGCGGATTTTGCACGTCAAGTACAACAATGCAAAAACAAGTATTCCCCCAATGTTCAGGAGGAGTAAAACAAATCGTCCCCAGACTATTTTTTGACTATCTCTGCGTATTCATCCTGCCAGGGGAGCAGGCCCGACCTAACGCCAGGGCTTCCCCAGATATTCAGGAGTAGTTAAAACATCGTCCCCAGACTATTTTTTGACCGACTTCACGCCCGACTTCACGCCAGGGCTCCCCCAAATATTCAGGAGTAGTGACAACATCGCCCCCAGACTACTAACGCCGGGCTCCCCCAACTATTCAGGAGTAGTGACACAAATCGTCCCCAGACTACTTTTTGACCATCTCTGCGTCTTCCTCCTGCAGGGGGGGCAGGCCCGACTCGACGCCAGGGCTCCCCCAACTATTCAGAAGTAGTGACACAAATCGTCCCCAGACTGCTTTTTGACCATCTTTGCGTCTTCCTCCTGCAGGGGGGCAGGCCCGACTTAACGCCAGGGCTTCCCCAACTATTCAGGAGTAGTGACACAAATCGTCCCCAGACTACTTTTTGACCATCTCTGCGTCTTCCTCCTGCAGGGGGGGCAGGCCCGACTCGACGCCAGGGCTCCCGCGTGCGCCGAGGGCGTGACCGCCCCCCCGCTGCCTCCGTGCCAGCCCCCCCTTCGCCTCCCGCCGCCTGCCGAGCCCGCCCCGCTCCTCCTTTCTCGGCCGGCGCCTGCCGCGGCATGATGCCCCCGGGGGGGAGAGCCCAGGCTTCGTTTCGGGCCGGACGAAAGGGGGGGGATTGGGAAAAGGGGGGGTACGAAATTTGCTGCAAGCAGCTGGTTTCGGCCTCACCGAGGGGCCCATTCCTCGATACGTAGCCGCCTCCGGCGGCGGGAGGCGCCGGGAAGATCAGCTACGTGAGCTGATTCTCACCCCCCCCCTTTGCTATCCCCCCTTTTCGCCCGACCCGATCGTTGCAACACGTATATCCCGAGCCCTCGATGCCCACCCTCGTCGTCTTCGATCGTACCCCCCTGCGGGGTATGCCTTCCATACGGGCCACGTGCATGTAGCGCAACCCCTGGAAGCAGGGGAAGAGAAGATGGATAGGGGAGGAAGGAGTCGGGCCTGTCCCTCCGCAGGAGGACTGCTCAAGCACAGTTACGACATAGCCTGGGGACGATGTCGTTCGATTATGTTTTGACCATGCTTGAGCATGTGTTGGGCGTATTGTGCGAATTTTTCCTCCAAGATCCGCCTGTAGGGGGACATGCCCGACCTACAGCTTCGTGCCTCCTCCGTCTGGAGTGTGCAGTGCACTCGGCCGCGGGCTTTGGTCGAAAAAGAAAAATGGCCATAAATACAAACGTTTAGCGCTCCGCGCGGATTTCTTGGATCCGCGCTGGGCCTTCCTGGCGGCGCCTCAGGCGCCGCCTCTGGCGCACTCCGCGCGCCACGGAGGGGGGTCCGGCGTGGATCCAAGAAATCCGCGCGGAGCGCCAAATGATTATGTTTATGTTGTTTTTGTCTTCTTCTATTTGGCACTCCTCGAGCAGTGGTGGCGGCTTTGGCGCGGCCGTCGTGGAATTGAGCCGTGACGCGCGCCGCACTGGTGCGATCCTCATTCGCGGCACCATCCAAGCATACTCATATCAGATGTGCGTCTGCCATACAATGGCGACGCGCACGCTCGGACAACTTGCACTGAGGTCCGTGGCGGATGCTTTCTGGCCATGCCGCTTGGGAATATAGGTATTACAAAATTGTGAAGGCCTCACGGCCCGTGCCGCGGACCCTGGAAGGAGACCCCCATGATTGGGAGGAGGAGGAGGAGGAGAGGAGGAGGAGGAGGAGGAGGAGGAGGAGGAGGAGGCGGAGGAGAAGGAGAAAGAGGAGGGGGAGGAGCAGGAGCAGGAGGAGAAGGAGGCGGAGGAGGAGGAGGAGGAGGAGAACGAGCAGGATAACACGGGGGAGGAGGAGAAGGAAGAGGAGAAGGGGGAGGAGGAGGAGGAGGAGGAGGAGGAGGAGGAGTAGGAGGAGGAGGAGGAGGAGGAAAACTCCTACTGGGAGTTTTTCGGAGATCTGAAAGCCTCCACAGGCTTCATGGCGGCCTCTTGCCGCCATCGGTGACCGTCTTGGAGATTTCTTGGGGCCATCTTAGGTCAGACGGGGTCCTATTCGCCGTCTTTGAGGGCATCTTGGATCGTCTTGGCGGAAATGCAGCACCATCCTGACCATCTGGGAGGCGAGCCTGGTCGTCTGTTCAAGAATTCTGTGGGGGCCCTCTTGGGACTCTTGGGGTGCTCGGGCGATTTCAGGCCCCTCTTGGATTATCTGGTGGTCCACGGCCCATCCCACCACCGTGCCTTGGTATGATACTGTTGGGGACCTTCTGTGGACCCTCTTGGGGCTCTCTTGGAGGCTTCTTGGAGCCTGCTCTGTGCTCTCTGAGAGTCCCCAGGGGCTTGAAGAGGGGCCCCATCTGAGAGTCCCCAGAGGCTCTCGAAACAGCCTGCGACAGTGCCATACGAAATGTTCCTGGTATGCCACCTGTGAGGGTTTGCCTGGAATTCTGTGGGAGGCCCTCCCTGGGCTCTCCCCGGGCGCTCCTGCGATTTCAGGCCCCCCTTGGATCATCTGGGAGGAGGAGGAGGAGGAGGAGGAGGAGGAGGAGGAGGAGGAGGAGGAGGAGGAGGCAGAAGGGGCCCGCGGCCCCGTCTGCCTCTGTGCCTGGGCAGTGGGCCGGAATCCTCATGGATGCTTCCTGGGATCTCTTCGGAGGGCTGTCGGGGGCCTTGGTGCAGTTTTGAGGCCGCTTGGGAGCCTCTTGGGAGCGTCTTGGGGCTTCCTGGGGTCCTCTTGGGGGCCTCTTGGGGCCTCTTGGGGGCCTCTGAGAAGTCTCTGGGGGCCTCGCGGTGAGCTCGAAATGTCGGTTTGTGTTCGCCTTTTGGGCTGTCTTAGAGGCCTCTTGGGCCGTCTTGGAGGCCTTCGGGGCCGTCTGGGCGCCTTCTTGACGGCCTCGTGGGACGTCTTGGGCCGATCTTTAGGGCTTCTTGGGCCATCCTGGAGCGTCGGGAAGCCGAAAAGGCAGAAACGCGAACATCTGTCAAACACCAACGCAAGTTCAATACATGTTTCCTCTTGGGAGTTCTCTTGGAGGCCTCCTGGGGTGTCTTGGAGGCGTCTTAGGCCGTCTGGAGGCCATCTTTGGCGTCTTGGGGCAATATTTCAATGACTTTGGGCCCTCTGGGGCCCCTCTTGGGATATCTTGGACCTGATCTGCCGAAGGATGGCCAAATTTGCTCGAGGGTGGCCCGAGAAGGAAGGGGGGACCGTATTCTGACCCGGGAGCCCCCCCAAAGTTCGCGCCTTGCAAGTTAAAGGCAAGAGATGCGTCATGCCATGTTGCATAGATCGTCAATGAACAGATCAAGCGCGCGTGGCAGAAGTGGACGCCCAAGCTACAGCGGCACTGCAAGCATGCGCGCAATAGCAAAAGGCAATGTCGCCGTGTGAGGTTCGGCGGTGTAACGCAACAGGGATATCCTTGAATCAATAGTCATGATCTCCCGCACCGCCATTACTAGAGTCATGTTTTTCTACTTATTCTTCGGAGAATGCAATCTCGTGTGAAAGTTGCTTGCAGTACCTTCATTTCACGGTAGCAAATTCAACAGTAGGACTGGCGGGAGTCACACTGGCAACACGACGACGCTGGTCACGACACCTAGTAGCAGTGGGCAGAGGGGCCGACAAGGCCCAGTCAGTGGACGTCTCTCGACTACGTCCTCCCAGAAGCTTTCGCGACAGTGCAATCGGGAGCACGAATCTAGCATCCAGCACCTACAGCTTGCCGAAAGGTCACACATGTCGGGACCACGAGCGAACCCTGCTGGTCATATCGATCACACTGTCTGCCACAGCAAGGTCCCCAGCGGTTTCCGCTACAATGTGGACGACAGCAGAAGAATTCGGAACGCTGATCAGCACCTTCCGCACGTGACGTCTAGTTGCTATTCTGTGTGGCGTCACGCATTCAGCCCTCTACGGTGCTCTAATGAACCAGGCCGGTTGAAGGTGGGCGGGGTTGAATACAAGCGGCCTGCCAGACGGAGAGTTTGGTTGGCAGCAAGAGGAGACGAACGACGCCTGGATCAGATGAGGCGTGCGGCCGCCCTTTTCTTGTCTCAGTAACCATGTTGCCGCCTTCCCTGCTTCCTCTCGACGAAGCAGAATTCCGAGGAACCCGCACGGATCTCCGAACGGCTTACGTTTATGACGTTGGTTGTTCCTCTACTCTTTCTGTGTCTCTCTCTCTCTCTCTCCTTCTCTCCCACCCTCCGCGCCACTACTTACATTCTAGGCCTCCTAAATGGGGTCGGAGTAGATGGGGTCGGAGAATCGCGCCGCATCGCCGATGCATCGGCGATGCGGTGCAATCCTCAAGGCCCCATCTAGGAGGCCTCCATACATTCTTGCGTCTTTCTTGCGCCGCCTTCCTCTTGACTGCGTCCACCCCGTCGGGCTTCTCGAGCGCCCGTGCCTCCCGCTGGCCCAGCCAAAGTTGCACCTAGGGGCGACGAGGCGGACGGCGCCCTCGCGACCACCTCGAGATCGTCCTCGAGATCGTCCTCGCGATCGTCCTCGAGATCGTCCTCGAGATCGTCCTCGCGATCGTCCTCGCGATCGTCCTCGAGATCCTCCTCGCGATCATCTCGAGATCGTCATCGAGATCACCCCTCGAGATCACCACAAGACACAACGCACTATACGTTCAGGTCGGACGCCCGCCTCCGCGGCGAACGCGCAGCACTCGCAGGCCCTGCTGCGCCCCATGGGATCCTGGAGCCCCTCCCCGCCATCTCCCTCGCCCCTCTCCCCGCGCCGGCCCCTTTGTCCCCCCGGGGCCGCGCGCGTGCATGGCGAGGGGTATGGGGGGGCAGGGGGAAGCGGGGGAGCGCCCCGGGCGGCGTGGCGACCACGCCGCCCGGGGAGCCCGTGGGGGTCCTCGGGCTCCCCGTACGGCCTTGGGGGGCCCGGGTCGCTCTCCGAGGACGTCTCGGGCGGCGTCGGGGCCTCCAGGGTTCCAATCGGGCCGGACGAAAAGGGGGGGGGGGATTGGGAAAGGGGGGGTTACGAAGCTTGCTGCATGCAGCTGGTTTCGGCCTCGCCGAGGGGCCCATTCCTCGATACATGGGCGCCTCCCGGCGCCGGGAGGCGCCGGGAAAAACAGCTACGTGAGCTGATTCTCAAACCCCCCCTTTGCTATCTCCCCCTTTCGCCCGACCCGATCCAAGGCCGTGGGGTGACGGACCGCGCGGTGAGGTCTGTTGGGATTTCGAGGTCGGCGCGCGGTCCGTCACCAAACGGTCTTTGGGATCCTGGAGGGAAAGGCGTGCACGGAGTGGGCAGGAATTTCCGTGACTGCATTCGTTGTCCAGGCCTCTTGTGGAGTGCAGGCGATCTCCAGCTTCAGGTGCTCGCCTTTGGGGGGGGGCTGCGGGCGCGTGGCTTTGTTGTTGTTCTCTGGGTGCTGAGAGTCCCAACGAGAGGTGGTGGCCACTACCAGATGCTGAGACAGCCTTGAACTATTGCGGGCGCGCGGCTTTCCGAATCAGGGTCGACTTTGCACAGGGGACGGGGGGGAAGAGTTTGAGGGGAAAAGAGGTGCCGCCATCCTCTTCCTCCTCATCATCATCATCATCATCATCATCATCATCATCATCATCATCATCATCATCATCATCATATCCCATTCGTCCTTCTTTGTCCCCCATCTTCTGGCTGCTACTTTGGACTGAGAGGACAGGGGGAGATTCGAGGCGAGGTCGAACAACGCAAGACTTTAGGGCCCAGTCCAGGTTTCACACCACCGCGATCGGGTTGGGCGCTTTGGAGGGCGCGATGACTCATTTTCCAGCGTGTCGTGCTGAAACTTGTCAAATGTAGATGGTCAGATGTTTCTGGCGACCCCACAGACATATCCTGCCCAGACCTGGGACATCGCTCAATTCTCGCAGCGTGGAACTCCAGAGGTCTCATCCACACCTCCTGGACTGTCAACCCGAGTCGCTTTTTGATGATCCTGGGGCCCAATAAGGGCCCCCCCGTGGCCGACGATTTTTGTTGCGCTTCGCGTATGCCCACCGGCTTCCAGTTCAGCCAGCCAGCCCCCCGCTGCCGCTGCCCCAGCTGCCGCGTTTGTGAGCTGGCCCGGCCGGCTCGTGCTGCGCTCTGTAGCTAATCGCGCCCTGTAGCTAATTAGGCTTGCCCGTCGGCCCGGACACCCTGCTCGCCGTCTGCGCTCTTCGCTTGCGGCCGCGACCAAAAAAGTATGCCTACCGGCTGGTCCGTTCAGAAACGATCGCCGTGCGAGTTGCTCGAATCAGGGAAGTGTAGAAGCATGCTGTGGAACCTGCAGCCTTGGAAGCGTGTCGGGGGCGAGATAACACTGCGGGAACATGTGTTGAATGATTTATCACATGTTACCCTGCCACGGTGGTTATCTTGGTGGGGGGCCACATGCGAACCCTACCCGTACCCCCCACGATTTCTGAGGGGGAGGGGCAGGGGTTCGCACGTGGTTTTGGGGCCCCTCTCTGGAGCTATCTCGGGACCCTCTTGGGGCGGAAGGCATCCCCCAACAGTCACACACACACACATATATATATATATATATATATATATATATATATATATATCACGGTGGACCGGGTCCGGGCAGGCAGGAGGCCGGGGCCCCGCGACCGCAGATATGTGGGGCCCCCGGCGGGCGCCTGGGGGGGCCTTGCCGGAGCGCCAGGGGCCGGCCCGAAGATCGCCCGACGGCGGCTTCGGAATTCGGGCCGGACGAGAGGGGCCGAGGGCTCGAAGTGTGGGCTCGAGTGCCTCCTCGGGGCCCTTCCTGCGGCAGTCTAGGAGCTCTCCTTGGCCATGTTGGATGCCTCTGAAGTTGTAGCGCTCGAAAGCGCGCTCCGACGGCTCCAGAGGCCTTTCAAGACGACTCCCTCGGGAGCCTCGATCGGGGGCGGCAAAGAGGGGGGGATGACTAGGGGGGGGAATATCATGGCGGGGGCCATGATATTTCCCCAGATTTCATGGCGCCCCTTCTTACTTCATTACGTCCCTGGCCCCCCCGCTGGGCCGCGCACATGCCGCCGGTCATGATTTGCGCCCCCCCCTCTTGGACACCCCACGGGGGTCAGTGCAAACGGGGGTCAGCCAGAGCGCCATATCTTGCAGGATCTTGCGAAGGCCCCCTCCGGCTGACCCGGGTTAGCGAGCCGCTCGTGGCCGCGAGACGCCCGCGCATATTGGCTGACCCGGGTTTGCGACGACCTGCGTTGCAGTTTTTTTTTCATGCATTGCAGTTTTTTGGTTTCCTGCTGACCGGGGTCTGGATTGACCCGGGTCAGAAGATCCCGGACTCCCATGACGCCAAGAAGGCCCCCGAAGGCCCCGAAGGCGCCCCGAGAGGCACCCCGAGAGAGCCCATAGGAAAACTGATGTTTTTTGGCGTGTTCGCCTTTTGGGCTTCCACTTCGTCCAAGACGGCCCACGAGGCACCCAAGCCGGTCGAGGATGCCCCCAAGAGGGCCCCAAGACGGCCCGTGAGGGGGCCAAGACGGCCCATGAGGCGCCCAAACCGCCCAAGAACGCCCCAAGGCGGCGCCCAAGACGGGGACGACGAACCGGAAATTCGCGCCTTTTGGCCCAAGAGACCCCCAGGAGACCGCAAGAGGCTCCAAGAAGCGCCCGAGAAGCCCCAAGAGGCCCCCATGAGACCAGAAAAAACACCAAAAGAGGCTCCGAAGACGCCCCAAGAGGCACCCCAATACAGCCCCAAATAAGCAACAGTTGTTGACTTCCCATCGGGGAACTGATATTTTTGGCGTGTTCGCCTTTTGGGCTTCCACTGCGTCCAAGACGGCCCAAGAGGCACCCAAGACGGTCGAGGATGCCCCCAAGAGGGCCCCAAGACGGCCCACGAGGGGGCCAAGACGGCCCACGAGACGCCTAAACCGCTCAAGAACGCCCCCCAACAGCCCAAGAGGCCTTTCGAGGCAGCCTCCACAGCGCCTCAGGAGGGCCCAAACCGCTTCCCAGGAGCCCCCAGAATGCGAAAGGATGGTCCAAGACGCTCCCAGGCAGCCCAAGCCAGCCTTCCGACGGTTCTTGAGGCTCCCAGGTGGCCTCCAAGAGACCCCAAGAGAGGTCCGAGAGGCTTACCGGGACGGCCCGAAGAGGCCAACATCGTTGATTTTCATGTTTTTTATGTTTTTGGCTTTTCGCGTTTTCGAGCTTCACGGGTCCAAGAGCGCCGACGAGGCTCCCAAGAACGCCCCAAGACCACCCAAGAGGCCCTCCGGACGGCCCCAAGACGAGCTAAGAAGGCTCCAAGACTGCCGAAGAGGCGCCCAGGACAGCCCCAGACCACCCCAGAACAGGCCCAACATGAGCCTAAGAGCGGGAGCAGGAGGCTTCCAGAGACCTCCGAGAGGCCTCCGGGACCCCCCAGAGGCCCAAACACACCCCCGATCCCTGAGAGACCCCAAAAAGACCCTGACGAGGCTCGAACAGCCCAAGAGAGCTGCGAGAGCCGTTCCGAGAGAGTTTTTCTAATCCTTTTCGCCTTCTCACGTTTCCCGCTTCCAACCCTCGAAGATCGAGGATTTTTTGGGTCAAAAAAGGAATTCCCAGAATTCCCTCTTCCGACTCCGATTCGGAGATCCCACAGATCCCCTGACATCTGGCCGGTAATTACCGCGCCTCCCGGCTTCCCGGGGGGCCCCCAGGTGGCCCGTTGGGCCGACGAACTTTGGCTCTCGGCCTTCAGGTTTTGCCGAGTTCTGGACCGCTCAAGGTGGCCCCGGAAGCCTCCAAGACCGCCCCACGTCGGCCCAGGAGGCTTCCCAAGAGTTCGGATGTTCCAACCTACTTTAGCCTTGATTGTTAGGAAGAATTTCGAGCCCCCAGGAAAGTACCGAAACTCAAGGGTTTTCACGTGTCGGGCCCTGGGGAGACACGCGCCCGACACTGTTTCGACACTGCTTCGACACTCTTTTGACACTTTCCTTGGTGCTCGAAATTATTTGTGGGATGTGGTCCTTAAGTAGGATGGGAATAACCCAAGAGGTCCCACGGCGCCTCCGAAAGAGCTCGC